ACTGTATGTCCGGAATCACATCTTTTACAAACAGAACCAGATCACGGATTTTATATGTGTTGAAACGGACCTGGATCTTGTGTTTATTCAAGATTTTGGAGATCTTTTTTGTGATCCCCGCAATGTAGGGTAAAGTGATGGTTTTGAAAGGCTCCTCAAGAGGATCGTTCTTCATGGTTTGAGTGATAGCTTTGCGGATTGTATAGTCGGAGTAACCATTAGCCTTAAGAGCTTGGTGTACGTGCTTGAGTTCACTATGTGTTCCTGGTCGGATATGCATTGGGCTCTATGGTACAGAGTCTTGATGAGAGAATTCTTCTGTGGATGGTGGTGGGAATCCGGTTTCAGATAAGCATCCATATGGGTAGCTTTCCTGTAGACAGAGTGGCTCATTGAACCATCAGGTCTCTTTTTTATGAGGACATCCAAAAAAGTAGCTTGCCATCTTTTTCGACTTCCATGGTAAATCTGATGGCTGGGTGTATGGAATTAATGTGGTCGAAGAATTGGTCTAGAGCAGGCCGGCCATGTGGCCAGATGACAAAAGTGTCATCCACGTACCTCTTCCATAAGGTTGGGCGCAGAGTGGCAGTCTGGATGGCATCAGTCTCAAATTTCTCCATGAAAATGTTAGCTATAACCGGAGATAGGGGGGAGCCCATTGGGGTGCCCTCAGTTTGTTTGTAGAAAGTTCCATTCCAAGTGAAGTATGTATTGGTTAAACAGTGTCTCACCAGGGGGGGTACCTCAGTGTTTAGTCCTTGATGAACCAAGTCTTCAATGATTGCGATGGTGTCAGGTACATGAACTTTTGGTGAATAAGGAAACTACATCAAAACTGACAAGCAGGTCGTCTGGGAACAGGGAAATACCCTTGATTGTCGATACCAGGTGAGTAGAATTTTGTACAGCAGAGGTGGTTTTTCAAGTGAAAGGATGCAGGATTTCAGACAAAAAACGAGCCAGTTTGTAGGTGGGGGAGTTGATAGTAGAGACGATGGGACGAAGGGGTGTATCTTACTTTATGTATTTTTTGTAATCTTGGTGGCCTGGCAGCAGGTTTCAACGAAAACTGTTTAAATTGATCAATTAATGCGGTTGAATCAAATTATTTTGTTGGTTTGTGTGACGAGGCTGTTGGTGGAATCTTTTTATTTTTGTATAGCTACCATTGTCGAATAATTCTTTAATTTTGTTGTTATATTCTATTTTATCCATGATGACAGTAGCATTGCCCTTGTCAGCTGAGAGGACTACAATGTCATCCCTCTTTTTTAATTTATATAATTCAAAACGCTCATCTTTGCTGAGGTTGCTAGCTGGCATCTTAGCGTTTTTGAGGGTTGCAGCGATTTCAGATATTGCTACGTCTGCAGCGATGTGACCCAGGCCCCTGAGAGCAACGTGTACTTGGGCAATTATATCATTACCTGGTATGTGTTTAGGTGTGACTGCAAAGTTTAGACCTTTAGCTAAAACGGATTTCAGACCATCGGAAATAGAACTGTTACTCTGATTAATTACGACTTTGTTAACGTCTAACTTTTTGGTGTGTGGGTCCGGTCTTTTGTTGAAGAGGTTAAATTTGGAAATCAGGTTGTCCTTACATTTGGTCGACATAGTAGCAGCTGAAGAGGCAGTCATATTGTCTACATGTTCCCAATCCGATGTGGACATTGTTGCCTTCAATGATAAGTGTGATTTGTAGAGTGTCTTGTCTAACTGATCTAGTTCGGTGCGTATAAGTCTGATTTTCTCTGAGATAAGCGCTAAGCTAGTTTTGAATAGAATTCGTTTCGCATTAGAAGAAGTTACAGCAGCAGAGGTCAGTGTAAATGCAATTGGTATTACCCCAGAGTCGCGGCATCTCTTCAGAGATGAAGGACCCTCTTGAGGAGCCTTTCAAACCATCACTTTACCCTACATTGCGAGGATCACAAAAAAGATCTCCAAAATCTTGAATAAACACAAGATCCAGGTCCGTTTCAACACATTACATAAAATCCGTGATCTGGTTCCGTCTGTAAAAGATGTGATTCCGGACATACAGTACCCTGGTGTCTACAAACTAAGTTGCCTCTGTGGTAGTAGTTACATTGGAGAAACCAAACGCCATGTCTCGGACCGCATTCGTGAACACAAAGCAGACCTTAAACACGATAGGACCAACACCTCGGCCATGGCAGATCATTGTTATAATTCAGTAGGCTCACATGACATTGACTTCTCCAAGACAGAGGTTCTTTGTAAGCCATCTGGCTACCATGAGAGATTCGTTCATGAGGCTATCCACATATACAAGCACAGAGACAATTTCAACCGAGAAGATGGATTCTGGCTTAGCAATCATTGGAAGGATTTGATAAACCATTTCAGGTCTTAATTGATTGTTCACGCTTACGGTGGCTTTCAGACAGCATACATTAATTTTTCGTCTCCCCCCTCCTCTTTTTAGAACATAGATGGACTCGTCCTTCTAAATAAACTGCCAAATCGCTGCCCGTGGTGCTAAAGGTTTTTTTTTTAATTAATAAATCTTTTAAAAATAAATAGATGCAAACCGCCACTTCTTTCAAATGTTTCTTGCCGTTGTTTTTTTCACACCTGATGATGACCATTTGTGTTATGGTCGAAACGTCGTGAGAATTTTTTTATATATATTTTATTTTATTGTTTCCCTTCAACGTGACTTTACCGAAAGAGCTAAGAATATGAATTACTGCAGTCACGAAAGCTTTAAATCAAAAATTTTCCCATTACTGTTGCACATTTCCCTTGGATTCACCTTTCCACTTTTTAGCACCGCATCCTTCGCAAGCAGCTAACACAGAGCCCAATATTGCCACGGACTGATAATTTAATTATAATCCAAACTTCGGTTGGTAAGTTAAAGCTGCTGTTCCAGTCCGGGTTGTTTCTTCTTGCTACAGCAGCGTGACGGACTTGCCTCTGGTGCACCGTTTTTTATGTTGTGGTTCCTCAGCCCGTGCTGCTGCATGGCCTGTCTGGTCTCTGGCTTGTCTCCATGCACACTGATCTAGAGTTTACTCAGCCCGTGCTGCTGCAGAAGTGACTGGGCAGTCTCTGGCTTGTCTCCATGCATTGCTGTTCAGCATTTTCCTCAGCGACCTATATAATTACTTTGATAGGTTAGTGTGGTGTATGTACGTCGCATCTCTTTCGCACCGTACGTAGCCAAGCCGGGCAAATCGGAGGTGCCCTTGAAAATGCCTTATCTTTGGGGAGGTGGTGGGCAAAAGTCAGCGAGCCTTAAAAGCGTTATCTGTGCGGGTTTATATGGAGCACACAAAGATCCCCCGTATAGCCTTTAACAGATGGTTGAGGCAAGTGCTGTTAGCGAGTAGCAGCGCCAATCGCACACGAGGGGGTGGGTGGCCAGCACTACGCCCAGCCGCCTTTGTCTCCCCAGGGCGATGTTTACCATGCACCGCACCCGGGTAATAATTTGAGGCTGAGTCGACCTAGGGGAGGCCCGGAACCGGTTCAGATAATTGTCACTGGTGTTGGCCGTGAGCGGGAATCGAACCCGGGTCGCCAGGTTCATAGCGCAGCGCGCTAACTGCTACACTATCGCTCCCCATACATACACAAACAGATACACACACAGCTACACAGACACACACAAAGATACACACAGCTACACACAAAGACAGCTGCTCACAACAGCTACACACAAAGACGGCTGCACACACACAGCTGCACACACTATCAACGTTGTTCGATGTTTGAGCGCGAGTGAAAGGTGCAATTGCCAGTTTCCTTTATGACACGTGGGAATTTTTTGGGGCAATAAAATTAATCTGAACTTAGAGCCTCCATAGAGACCCAGATAGAACCAGAGACCCACAGAGACTAATTTAGAACCGGAGACCGACAGAAACTCCTAGAGAACCAGAGAACCCACAGAGACCCATATCGAACCAGACAGACCCCATAAAGACCGAGCAGCAGCAGAAGGCATCAGAATATTTATTTAGACTGCAGGAAGAGGAAATCCGAAGGGCTATCAAGCTCTTTTGCATCACATATTTTCAAGTAAGGGGGTCGCACACGGCGGGGGGTGTTCAGAACGCGGCTAAAACATCGGCGCGTCAACAAAACGTTGCGCTAACGAACGACAACTTCAACAACAACAACCGCCGTCCACCACGCGGTGGCGGTGACGGAACCACGACGCTCGTGCCAGGCTCGGTGCACGTTAGAAGCACTCACGTGAAGTGGCAGGTCACGGGACAGATGATGCAGGTGCCCATGGGTTGACTGCTGCTGTGCCAGGCTAGGTGCAGGAGGAGGTCACGGGACAGACCCTGTGGGTGCTATGGGTTGTGCCAGGCTAGGTGCACATCACTGAACAGACCGTGCAGGTTACCATGGGTTGTACTGCTGCTGTGCCAGGCTAGGTGCAGGAGGAAGTCACGGGACAGACCCTGTGGGTGCTATGGGTTGACTGCTGCTGTGCCAGGCTAAGGAGGTCACGTGACATACCCAGCAGGTGCCATGGGTTGACTGCTGCTGTGCCAGGCTAGGTGCAGGAGGAGGTCACGGGACAGATCCTGCAGGTGCCCATGGGTTGACTGCTGCTGTGCCAGGCTAGGTGCAGGAGGAGGTCACGAGACAGACCCAGCAGGTGCCATGGGTTGACAGACTGAGATGACCGGCAGACGGAAACTGCCCCCAACAAAGACAAAGATCCCCCGTGTAGCCTGAACAGACGGTTGGGGCAAGTGCCATGAGTGGTGAGTAAACAGCAGCGCCTATGAAGGCTACCGGCACTGTGGCACACACAGAGGGGGTGGGTGGCCAGCACCACGCCCGGCCGCCTTTGTCTCCCCCAGTGCTAGCGATGTTTACTCCACGCCATGGCACCAGGTACTGATTTGAGGCCGAGTCGACCTAAGGGGAGGCCCCAGGTACCGGTTCAGATAATCGCGATCGCCGATGTTGGTGGCCGTGAGCGGGAATCGAACTTTGGGCCTCTGCCGGGTTCGTAGCGCAGCGTAGCGCTAACCGGCGCGCCACCGCTCCCCACACAGATACACACCACACACGTACACACGTACGTACGCCCGCCCCCACGCACGCATCCATCCGCATGTACACAGCCGCACTCATGTTCACGCATGTCCAGGTGCTCACACACCCACGCACCCGCACGCCCACACTCCCGCACGCTCACACGCACTCACACGCTCACACGCACTCACACACTCACACGCACTCACGCGTACACACCCACGCCCACACTCCGACACACTCACATGCTCACACGCACTCACGCGTACACACACGCACTCACGCACGCTCCAGTAGATTCCTCGACTCCACCGATGATGATCTCCCCCTCAGTATCCAAACAGCTTCAGCGGCAGCTTGAGGAGTCTGCAAGAGAAGACGCCGGGAGGTTTGGGAGTCAGCGTCTGATGCAGATCGTGGGACGCTAGCAGCAAGCGGCAGCATGAAAAGACCGACACAAACTTAGAAAGAGCAGCGTCAACATCCTCGTGATGATGACGACGATGGTCTCCACTCGTAGCGCTGCGTAGCTCAGCAGGCTTCACACGGTGAATTTGAATAGTTTAGTTTGGTCTGTGGGTCTCTCTGTGTCTCTGTGTATATCTGTGGGTCTCTATGTGTGTCTATAGGTCTATCTATATGGGTCTCTATGTATCTATATGGGTCTCTGGGTCTCTATATGGGGATCTGGGGTCTCCCTCTGTCTCTATGGGTCTCCTATCCATGTGTAGTGTGGTGAAATACGCGGTGCGCACAGTTGACCGAGCGCATCTGAGGGCAAGCAGGTGAGACAGGGTGCATCCGAGGTCGAGCGGGTACATGGACTGCGACCTGAGGTTGCTGCCAAAGAGGTCGCTGCCAAAGAGGTTGCTGCCAAAGAGGTTGATTTATGGGCCAACTGGCGACGGCTTGTCGGGAGCTTGAGCGGAAGCACTTGAGGGCTCGGGATGAGCGGGGAGATATAAGCTGGCGCGTGTGCGAGCTAAGGGTTAGAAAGTTGTTGTGGGGAACCAAGAGTGAAGACGTCTCACCGCGGCCGCTCCAGGGGCAGCAGTGGAGATATAGAATTGCTGTGTGGAAGCCGCTGGGTGCTGAGGCGCTGTGTGCGAAGCCTCTGTGTGGAGAACAAGCTGAGAGATGAGCTGCTATGTGCAGGTTAGGTGAAGTGTAACGTAGATAAGAGTGGGGAACAGGTTAGCAAGAAGTGACCGTGTAGATAGCGATAGGAATGCCTACAACTGGTGCAGAAATAGGTTAATAAAGTGTGAGCAGGCGACTTATTACAACGTGTCAGTCTGAGTGATTAACAAGACACTACACGTGTACAGTATTTGGCTGCTGCTATAAATGTCCACACGATGACATCAGCCACTACTAAAACTAAACTATGTTTTATTTTACCAAGTGTAAGGCCCCACTAAGCTACATAGCTCTTTATCAGAAGCGACCTGGCCATCACAAGGAATGATAGACGCTCAACCAAGTGGCTGATATCGTCATCGCGTGGACATTTATAGCAGTAACCAAATGCTTTGAACGCGTAGAGATACCTAGAGACCCTTAAGAGACACATAGAGATACTGTACATAGAGAGGCATGGAGATACATAGAGACCCAGAGAGATAGACCCATAGACATACAGTGAGGGAAAAAAAGAATTTGATCCCCTGCTGATTTTGTACGTTTGCCCACTGACAAAGAAATTATCAGTCTATAATTTTAATTGTAGGTTTATTTGAACAGTGAGAGACAGAATAACAACAAAAAAATCCAGAAAAACGCATGTCAAAAATGTTAGAAATTGATTTGCATTTTAATGAGGGAAATAAGTATTTGACTCCCTCTCAATCAGAAAGATTTCTGGCTCCCAGGTGTATTTTATACAGGTAACGAGCTGAGATTAGGAGCACACTTTTAAAGGGAGTGCTCCTAACCTCAGCTTGTTACCTGTATAAAAGACACCTGTCTACAGAAGCAATCAATCAATCAGATTCCAAACTCTCCACCATGGCCAAGAATAAAGAGCTCTCCAAGGATGTCAGGGACAAGATTGTAGACCTACACAAGGCTGGAATGGGCTACAAGACCATTGCCAAGCAGCTTGGTGAGAAGGTGACAACAGTTGGTGCGATTATTCGCAAATGGAAGAAACACAAAAAAACTGGTAATCTCCCTCAGCCTGGGGCTCCATGCAAGATCTCACCTCGTGGAGTTACAATGATCATGAGGACGGTGAGGAATCAGCCCAGAACTACACGGGAGGATCTTGTCAATGATCTCAAGGCAGCTGGGACCATAGTCACCAAGAAAGCAATTGGTAACACACTACGCCGTGAAGGACTGAAATCCTGCAGTGCCCGCAAGGTCCCCCTGCTCAAGAAAGCACATATACACGCCCGTCTGAAGTTTGCCAATGAACATCTGAATAATTCAGAGGACAACTGGGTGAAAGTGTTGTGGTCAGATGAGACCAAAATGGAGCTCTTTGGTATCAACTCAACTTGCCGTGTTTAGAGATGGAGGAATGCTGCCTATGACCCCAATAACACCATCCCCACCGTCAAACATGGAGGTGGAAACATTATGCTTTGGGGGTGTTTTTCTGCTAAGGGGACAGGACAACTTCACCGCATCAAAGGGACGATGGACGGGGCCATGTACCGTCAAATCTTGGGTGAGAACCTCCTTCCCTCAGCCAGGGCATTGAAAATGGGTCATGGATGGGTATTCCAGCATGACAATGACCCAAATCACACGGCCAAGGCAACAAAGGAGTGGCTCAAGAAGAAGCACATTAAGGTCCTGGAGTGGCGTAGCCAGTCTCCAAACCTTAATCCCATAGAAAATCTGTGGAGGGAGCTGAAGGTTCGAGTTGCCAAACGTCAGCCTCGAAACCTTAATGACTTGGAGAAGATCTGCAAAGAGGAGTGGGACAAAATCCCTCCTAAGATGTGTGCAAACCTGGTGGCCAACTACAAGAAACGTCTGACCTCTGTGATTGCCAACAAGGGTTTTACCACCAAGTACTAAGTCATGTTTTGCAGAGGGGTCAAATACTTATTTCCCTCATTAAAATGCAAATCAATTTATAACATTTTTGACATGCGTTTTTATGGATTTTTTTGTTGTTAGTCTGTCTCTCACTGTTCAAATAAACCTACCATTGAAATTATAGACTCATCATTTCTTTGTCAGTGGGCAAACGTACAAAATCAGCAGGGGATCAAATACTTTTTTCCCTCTGTACCTAGATACATAGAGACCCACAGAGATAACTGGATAACCCTTGGAGACAGAGATACAAGAAGATACATACAGACCCATAGAGACCCACAGAAATGCAGAGACAGAGACCCAGATAGACCCATAGACTAAAGTAAACTCCCTGATGATGGACCCTTGTGTTGCGCCCGAAATGTGATTTATTGTTTTATTCTACCTACGTGACTTTACCAAAAGAACCAAAGAGTATGGATTCCTGCAGTCACGAAATATTCAAATCAAGATTAAACTATGTTTTATTTGTACCAGGTGTAAGGTCCCAATGAGCAGCTGTATAGCTCTTTTTCAGAAGCGACCTGGCCATCGACACTCAATGTTAACAGCTCAATCAAGTTGCTGATATCGTCAGTACCATGCTGGCATTTATAGCAGCAGCCAAATACTCAGATGATAAATACTCTCCCTACTCGTCATCCAATCTATATTGCAAAGATTATTATTCTGTGTGTGTGCTGTGTATACACTTTGTGGTATACTGTGTGTCTTGTACTGACTATGTACTGAAACATAATCCACAAAATATTTTTTGGGTGAAGTCGCGTGAATGTAAATGTGGTGCCATTAAACCCACCACCACCCGACACACCCAATTAGTAAGGAGGTTTGTCACGTAAACAGAACGTGCCAATTCGTTACTAGTTACAGCACTAGTGCATAGTGGTGTAGTGTGCAGTGGTGTAGTGTACATTGGTGTAATGTATAGTGGTGTAGTGTACAGTAGTGTAGTGTATATTGGTGTATAGTGGTGTAGTGTATAGTGTAGTGATGGTGTATAGTGGTGCAATGTAGAGTGGTGTAGTGTACAGTGGTGCAGTGTACAGTGGTTTAGTGTTTAGTGGATTGTAGTGTATAGTGTAGTGATGGTGTATAGTGGTGCAGTGTAGAGTGGTAGTGGTGTGGTGTACAGTGGTGCAGTGTACAGTGTATAGTGGTGTAGTGTTGTATATGCTGGGTATTGAAAATTTGATGAAAAATTATGTTAATTGATGTAATTATGCACATAAGATAATCATATTAATTTATGCGAATGTGTGCAATTATGTTAATGTGAGCCGTTATGATAATTAAGCCCCGCCTCACTGACAAGGGTAGTATTATCAATCGGGATCACACAATTGTATGAAGTTACGCAGGTGTGCTGTAAGTATGCTAGATTAAGCTCGGCTTCGTTGCCCAGGTTCGTATTATCGATCAGTATAATGCAATTATTCTCGCTTTAACATTTATTGATTATGTATTAGTGTTTTTATGTCAGGTCTCCAAATTCAAATCTCACCGCAGAATACAGTTCTTAATATTAAGATGATTATGCATGAACTCAGGAAAGAAACACTCAAACACTTCTGCGTTAAGCAATTTTAATTTCTACAAAACCTTAACACTCTAATATGCGATACACTCCAGCGCTGTCCTACCAGACAGTCTCGTCCCTTCACCTGATGAAGGCCGCTTGTGTTGTGGCCGAAACGTCGTGAGAATATTATTGTGTTATTTTATTTTATCAATTTATTATTTTATTCTCATTCTACGTGACTTTACCGAAAGAACCAAAGAAGATGAATCATTGCAGTCACGAAAGCTTTAAATCGAAATGATTACTTCGTCAGAGTAATACGAGCATATACGGCGAATAGGAACCAAAAGTTCTTAAAAATGTATGCAGCGATTTTCATACGAAGGCAATAAAAATTATTATATCCCAAAGGCAAAGTATACGTCAATAGATTCATCGGCAAGATTATATAATTAACGAGATGTCATGGAATAAGGGTGTGCGGCAGTACGCCTGCCTACGGGAGATTCTTATCTTTGGCTAAGCTTTAATTAATTCGTTGACAAGATGACATAAAAAACAGATTTAACACGATATTCTCTCTGTGAGCGTATAGAATCGTGACGAAGGTTTCAAAATGTTGAATCTATTGGTTATTTATGCGATTGGAGGTAACATCACATAAACAAAACAAGAAGAAGAAAAAATTAATGTACTTATAACCGACGTGTTCTTATCACTCGATGAGCCGCGATGCCTTCACGGCCAGCTGATGGTTCATGCACTTTATAATTAGTCTTAGCGTGTGGGTGCGTTGGGTTGTCTCTGGTAAATTCTTGTGTGAGCAGACGCTGGGAACGTCGTGGGTTTGTGAATGTGGGGGAGGGGTATACGAACGACTGCTGGTTCCCTCTATCGCTCGGCGTCTGACGTTGGCTGACGGCTCTCTACCGCTGGATGATGAGCTGCGTCAGCAAGATGCTTGTCCTTGAAGATGCTCGATCACGCTTGCCGCTGGTCCGCTGGCAGCAGCAGGCTCCTTCCACTGCTGTAGTAGCTGCGCCGCACGCGCCCTCTCCTTGAAGGTGCTCGAACGCGCTCGCCGCTGGTCCGCTGACACTTTTGCTCATGGGCGGCTGGTCAGGCTCTTTCCCCTGCTGGATGAGCCGAGTCGGCACAACGCTTGTCCGCTGGCATCTGGCACCCTTGCTTGGCCCTCTCCGCCCTTTCTCGAGGTGGATGGCTTGTCGTCGCTCGTCACTCTTTCTCTCGGGCAGCAGATCCTGCTGGGAGCTGGCACTCGATGTAGAATACAACTTTTAGCGATACTTCATCTTTCAGCTCTGAACTCACACTCGGTGACACATCGCTACTCTGAAAGCCTCGCCATCCTCGGTTGATTGCGGGGCCCACCCCTGAGCCTGCCGCTTGCAGTACTCTTCTGTCGCTCGCCGTTGGTCCGTTATCGAGCTGAATTGTGTGTCGTGTTGCTGTTTATATCCGAAAAATCTCCCCTCTGCGCGTCTCTTGCGAAAAAAAAAACAGATGCTTACTCCGTTGCTCTCTCACAAAGGACCGGATTCCTTTGATCTCTCTCTGTCTAGTGGGGAGGGGCGGGGTACGTGTGTATGTGTCATTTATTAAGCCATCTGTGTCTCTCCCCAAGCCATCTTTTCATCCGTGGAACACATGCCTTCACGGCAATAAACAGTCATTTCCTTCGCTCTCCCGTGCTGCGGGAAGACAAAGACGGTCGGGAGGCTCCCTTCCTATGGAACACAGTTTATCTTGGTTGTGTAAGCTTGACCCGTCTCGCCTCATCTCCTCTTGACAACCCTCGGTTTGACACCACAATTATCATCTTGGCTCACGTTTCCAAAGATTTGTGATTTCATTAGATGTTACCTCCGGTATTTCAAGGGTTTTATTAACTTTTACTCCCCGTCTGAATCCAGGGATCCGTGCTGTTATGCTTGAGTTATTATTTATTTATTTTTGATCTCCTGAATTTAAGAGGTAAGTTTCTTGACTGTTGGAATTCATATTCCTTGTTTTTTGTAAGGTCATGTAACGGCAAGATGTAATGTGATTTAAGGTGAGTAACGTTAGTGTTAATATGGTATTATTATTTTGGTTTATGTTTCCCGAGATTATTCCTATAATGTGAACATATTCTTGTTGTTGAGTTTTTCTTGGACTTCCTGTTAATTTAAAATAACCAAATCCTGTCTGTCCGGTTTTCGCCGCCCTATAAGTTGCGAGGGTTTGAGGAATTCCCCCCCCCCCCTTTCTCTTTTGTTTTGGGTTTTATTACTTTATGAATTACCCTTTCCGTTGGTCTGTTGGGTGTGAGGGGAGGGGGCTGTATCACCCCCCTTTTGCCCCGGAGTTTATTATTTAATGGCATTTTACGACCTCCAGCTGCTTGAGGGAGGTAGTGGGTTTGAGGGTGTTTATTTATCGATTATTAATTTTAAAAAAATGTATCACTAAAATCATCAATTTTGGAAAAAGGCCTATATATCCAACAGTAGTGTATAGTGTACAGTGGTGCAGTGTACAGTGGTGTAGTTTACAGTGGTGTAGTGTAGAGTGGATTGTAGTGTATAGTGTAGTATACTAGTACAGCACACCAGTGTGTTGGAGAACAAATCCACACAACATTTACAATCTGAGCACCGTGACATTTCACCAGTAATTGCAACGACCGGAAAACATCAGGCGACAGCCAGATTTGGAGAAATCCTCCTCTTTCATTCCCTAAATGAAGAGAGGATAAGATGTGATGGCGTCACTTGTGAGGTTTAACGACACCACATTTACGTCTATGCGATCTAATCCGAAGAAAAAAAACCTCTTATGATTGATATTGGTCGCGAAAGCCCTACTCACTACTATGTGTTCATCTGAAAAATAAGTTAATAGCACAGTGGGCCTTTTGCCTGGTTAAAATTGAAACGTAGTTTAGTTTCATTTTTTAACTCTCCTACACTTTGCAGTCCTATCGCGTTTGTTGTTGGTGTAATGTGCCGAATATCTGTTGAAAAATAAGAGCTTCATAGCTCATCAGGTTTATCCAGCATAGGTAAATATCCATAAGAGGTTTTTTTGGGGTTAGATCCCGTAAATATATAAAACCTCTTATGGATATTAGTCCCGAATGCCTATGTAAGTAAATATATTACGATTCTGTACGTAACGTGTGATACACTCTCTATACTCTGCTGGACCATCTGTGGCAAAGAGCTTTATAGCTCATAAGACTGTTCCTACTCCTCTCCAATATAAATAACAGAGGTTACTGATCATTATCATCATCACCATCGTTATCATCATCACCAACATCTTCTTTGGTTCTTTCGGTAAAGTCGCATAGATCATGAACACCTAACCATTGAACTCAAACACGTACACCAAGCGCTCAAGGCGAATGGATATTATGACTAAACAATCCACAAAGCCATCACCCCAACCGTGAGGAAGGAGCCATCTGAGGATCCAATCAAAACCATCACCCTGCCATACATAGCAGGGGTTACCAAAAATATTTCTAAAATCATGAACAAACGTAAGATCCAGGTCCGATTTTACACAGTGCATAAAATTCGTGATCTTATCCCATCTGTGAAGGACAGGATTCTTGACATGCAATATCCCGGCGTCTACAAACTAAGCTGTATCTGCGGCAGCAGTTACATTTGGGAAACTAAGCGACATGTCTCGGACTGTGTTCGTGAATATAAGGCAGATCTGAAACAGTAGGACCAATATACTTCTGCCGTGGCTGATCATTATTTTAATGCGGCTGGCTCACACGAAATTGATTTCTCTAAGACGATGGTACTTTGCAAGCGTACTGGCTATCAACAAAGATTCATTCGCGAAGCCATCCATATATACAGACACAATTTCAACCAAGATGACAGTTTTAAATCATTGGAAAGATGTCATCAACCATTTTGGGTCATGACTTGACTTGTGTTTTCTTGTCAATCAACCTCCACCGTCAGCAGTGTGGTGTGTGGTGCGGGGTGCGGTGATTTATTGGCGGCCCTTTGCTGCATTGGCATTGCTGCTGCATTGGCATTGCTGCTGCATTGGCATTGCTGCTGCATTGGCATTGTTGCTGCATTGGCATTGTTGCTGCATTGGCATTGTTGTTGCATTGGCATTGTTGCTGCATTGGCATTGTTGTTGCATTGGCATTGTTGCTGCATTGGCATTGTTGCTGCATTGGCATTGTTGCTGCATTGGCATTGCTGCTGCATTGGCATTGTTGCTACATTGGCATTGCTGTCAGATCACCAGCATCATCACCAGCACCATCATCACCAGCACCAGCACCATCATCACTAGCATCATCACCAGCACCATCATCACCAGCACCATTATCACTAGCACCATCAGCACCAGCACCACCAGCACCATCATCACTAGCACCAGCACCATCATCACCATCATCACTAGCACCAGCACCATCATCACTAGTACCAGCACCATCATCACCAGCACCATCATCATCACCATCACTAGCACCAGCACCATCACCATCATCACCAGCACCATCACCGTCATCACCAGCACCATCATCACCACCACCATCATTATTGTTGATATCATCATCAACACGACCATTACCACCATCACCACCATCATTGTTGTTATCATCACCATAATCCTTACCCAAAAATGGCTCTGGCCCATCTTCCTCGCTGGCTTACGGCTCTAAGACCATCACCACCATCACCACCATCCTTGGCTGGTTCCGTGACAATTTCGGAGCGTCCGTGCCATCCGTCCCTGTCACTGCGTTGGGTGGAGATTGCAGCAGCAGCAGTGGCCTGGCCATCTGCTAAAACAGATAACCATGAACATGTTTTTTTGTTCATAAATGTTCCAGTTGGGGTGAGGTCAGAGAGTTCAGAATATGTATACGCTCACCCACTCAACTCACCCACACATTCACAACAACCGCCATTCGGCACTAAGTGGCACACCCACACACTCATCCGCACACTCACCCGCACACTCACACACTCATTCACTCAGCCACCCACTCACTCAGCCACCTCTCACACTCACTCGGCCGCACACTCACTGAGCCGCACACCTACGATTAGCACGGTTGGCTATGTACGGTGCCAAAGAACTTCAACATACATAATCTACTATATACTACTATGCACTATACACTACAATGCACTATACACTACAATGCACTACACCGTAGCTACTGACGCTCACTCACCGTATGCCAACGTCTCCTGTCCACTCCTCCTCCCACTCCCTGTGGAGTGGAGTTCCGAGGCTCGTGATGAGTCACTCCCCTGCTGAGGAAGGGGGGGAACGAACGCAGTGACGGAATCTTCAGGATCATTGTGTAGACTGCGAGGTGGAGGAATCCAAAGAGCTATAAAGCTCTTTGTTCACAGATAGGCCGGGGTGAGAACGTTATGTACGTAGCTAGTCAGAGGTGTGTGGGTCAGTGGGTGGGTGGATGAATAAGTGGGTGAGTGGGTGGATAAATAGGTGAATTGGTGGGTGGGTGAATGAGTGGGTGGGTGAATGAGTGGGTGGGTAGGTGAATGGCTGGGTGGGTGAATGAGTGAGTGGGTGTACGTTGAACCGTGCATAGCCAACCGAGCTAAATCAGAGGTGTGAGGGGGAAGGACAAACTACAAACATAACAAGCGGCAGTTCTAAAGAAACGAGTTTCAATCTGTATTGAAAAGTGCACAGTACACTTTATGCACTGGGGGAGACAAAGGCGGCCGGGCGGGCGTGGTGCTGGCCACTTACCCCCTTTGTGTGTGCCACAAGTGGCGGCCTTCATAGGCACGGCTATTCACTAACAGCACTTTCCCCTGCAGTCTGTTGGAGTCTTTACATGGGAGTCTTTGTTTTTTTTGTATGTGTGCATCTGTGTGTATCTGTATGTATGTGTATCTGTGGGTGTATTTATGTGTATGTATCTCTGTATGTGTACATGTATTTGTGTATGTATCTCTGTGTGTATCTCTCTCTATGTCTGTGCATATTTGTGTATGTATCTCTGTGTGTATCTCTGTATCTGTGTGTATCTCTCTGTATCTGTGCATCTCTGTATGTACCTCACTGTATCCGTATCTCCGTGTATCTGTGTATTTGTATGTATCTCTGTGTATGTCTTTGTATGGGCGGTGGCCATTCCACCCCTGATGCTGCTGTAACTCGCTACCCAGTAACAGCTTGTTAAGAGGCTTGCATGAGGTGGGGGATGTTTGTCCTTTGTGAACACAGCGTGAAGGGGAAATCCTGGTGGGGGTAGTCACGAGTTTGGTTTCACTACCAACAAGAGACACCATTGTGTGATGTGGGGAACTTCAGAAAGTGATGCCTCTTGTTTGTAAGGGACAGCGGTAGTGTAGCAGTTACGTACGTGTGTGTACGGTGTGTACGTACGAATGTATAAAAATAATTTTAACCGTTCAGATAGTTACCGCCTTAGTGCTGCGCGGAAGCGAATAATCAAATAATACATTGTTGAAATGCATGCCAATAAAGGGCAGCGCACTTCAATAGGGATTACCGTTGGTACGGCTATTTTAATACACACAATAAACAGGAAGGACAAGATCAAAAGGCTCACATACTGCACATGCATAATGTACGTTGACTCAGTAATCCCCTCCCCCCCACTTTGCGCAAGAGCACAGAAGCATGGTCACCACATCTATGCCTCTATATAAGGAACGAAACAGGAGGACTTCTCCACAAATCTGGCTGTTGCCTGATGAAGCTGGTTGTAATTACTGGCGAAACGTCGTACTCAGATTGTAAACGTTGTGGCTTGGCTCTCCAACACAACGAGTGTGCTGTACTAGTGACGAATTGCCATGTTCTGTTCATGTGACAACCCTTACTAGCTGGCTGTGTCGGGTGGTGACGGGTTTTAATTTCACGTTAAAATATTTACGCGATCTAATAAAAAAAAACCTCTTATGGATATTGGTCGCGAAAGCCTACGTGTTAAACTGACTAACCTCTATGTGGTGTGTACGGCAAAATAACTCCCTACCTCCTCGTTTGTGATGGACGGTAACGCTGTGGTGAGCAGTGTCGGGGGGGGGGGGGGGGAGGGCCAATTTGGATTGGCCATTCCCCGCATGGCTTTTGTAGCCACCACATCGGCCAAATGGAGACTCTGGACGGGTGCGAGTGGCTGGTAACACCTCCACCTTCAAATAAATTACCACGATACCACGGAAAATATATCAAATGAAGCTTGTGCCGGAGGCCCCGAGGGGACAGGCGTCTATGACGTCTCCTGGCCAAACCCCATTTGGCGGAGCCAGGAGATTGAATCCTTACCCTCGGGGTTCCTCCAGAAGCAGCAAAAAGCCACTGCGGGTGGCCATGTGGAATGTTCCAATGCTCACTGCAGAGGAAAGGCTGCCACTCTTCTGTCAGGAGCTGGACCGGTACCGCCTGGATCTATGTGCTATTCAGGAGGTCCGGTGGACCGACTCTGGCTCCTGCCACCATGAAGGGTGGATAGTCCTCTACTCGGGGCAGGAGACTGCCAAACAACAGGGAGTGGCTCTTCTTCTGAACAAAATAATGAAGGGGGCATGGGAGCGTGGCGGTGAGGTGTGGGAAGCTGTAAGTCCCAGGCTACTTTGGGCTCACCTTCCCATCAACCACAGGCGAGGAGTTGTTGCTCGTGGTTACTTATGTCCCCAGAACAGGGATGCAGGTCTTGCCTGCATCCCTGTTCAGGTATTCTGGCAAATTCCCCGAAGATGCTGGATGAAATTACCAGCGAAACGTCATATTCAAATTCTAAATGTTGTGGATTCACTCTTCAAACACACCGGTGGGCTGAAGAAATAACTAATTGGTGTTTTGTTAACGTGACACATTTTTTACTGATTGGCCGTGTCGGGTGGTGGAGGGTTGCGATACATTTATAATGACGCAATATAACCCAAAACCCTTTATTATGAATAATACTGGTCGCGAAAACCTACGTGTTAAACTGACCTTGATGATGCCTGCTGCTGCTTTATATTTGGCGAGATGTTAACTACCTCGCCTGGTGTGCAGGCGGTCGTGGGTTCGATCCCGCACCCTAACGATGCCTGCTGTTGCTGTATATTTGGATTCTGCGTTTCTCTCTCCCCATGGTTGCGTGGATTTTTCTCAGGATCCTCCCCTCCACATTTAGAATGAACATAACGTGTTTAAAATGCGTCTGCTGCGAAAAATTTCGACAGCCAAATATTCTAAATGTGTAATGTTGCTTATTCTAAATGTGGAGGGGAAAAATCTATGCGACCACCACGGGGAGAGATGCAGACTCTAAATATACAGCAGCCGTCAGGATCAGGGATCGAACCCACGACCTTCCTGTATACCAGGCGAGGTAGTTATCATCTTGCAAGGTCAGGATCGAACCCACAACCTCCTGTATACCAGGGGAGGTAGATATCTGCTAGCCACCATGGCACCCATCATCATCATTCCTCCTCCGTTTGAATTCACATTGCTTATCACTTTCACGCATGTGGTGCTGATGGTGAAGGTTGTACCAACCGTTAAAGCTCTGCAATTGCCATCATCGTCATCTTCATCATCTTCGTCATCATGTTCATCACTCCTCCTTCGTTTGAATTCACGTTGCATCTCCTCATCCTCCTCATCATCATCATCATCAGACTCCTCCTCTTCAAGACAGTCCGTCTCCTGAAGGAAAACGCGGAACGAATTCATGACGTGTGTGTGTGTGTGTATGTTGAAGATCTTTGGTGCATGTACGTAGCCAACCGTGCTAACCGCAGGTGTGTGGATGAGTGTGTGGGTGAGTGGCTGAGTGACTAGGTGGATGAATAGGTGGGTGAGCGTGTGAGAAGGTGGGTGAGTGGGTGAGTGGTTAGGTGGGTGGTTAAGTGGGTGGGTGAATGTATGTCTTGAACTTCTTTGGCACCATACTTATTCAAACGTGCTAACCGGAGGTGGAGGGGGTAATAACAACAAACTAACCACAACAACAAACAGTTCTAGATAAATTAGTTTGTCAGTCCTAGATGATGATTTAAAAGTGCATCATAGCTCCCCAGTGGTTTCCTAATATCGGATGGGAAGAGCGTTCCAGACGGTAACATCATTAACATCACCGCCACCACCATCACCACCACTACCACTATCATGTATGTACAATTAACTTCTTTGGCACCGTATATAGCCAACCGCAAAAATGAGGTGTGGGGAAAGGACAAGCGAAACACAAAGCAGTTCTAAAGAAATGAGTTGTAAATTTAGTTTAGTGGTGTAGTGTATAGCAGTGTAGTGTATATATACTACACACTGCACTACACTACACCACTGTACATCACTACTATACATGATACGCAACACTACTATACACTGCACACACACACACTACACAGTCTGCATGAACCACGCATTGCTCTTGTGGTATAAAATGGTTCGTCCGTCCCCCCCACCCGATAATGTGGAACAGCTCCAACCCCGAGCTATGTGACGCCGCCTTTAATGTTTGCATTGGTTAAAAATAATTTTTTAAAATGAGCGATCCGTTAATTTGGCAATTCCGATTCGAAAAGGCGGAGATGGGCGAGAGAGCGTGGGAGGGGAAGCCACGACCACACCAACTACAACCGCCATTCGCCACCAAGTGGCGGTGACATCACCACGGAGCCTGTGCCAGGCTAGGTGCACGTTAAGGCCATGTGAAGTGTTGAACGCCCGCTGGTACGAGATCACGGGACAGACCCTACAGGTGCCCATAGGTTGTGCCAGGCTAGGTGCACGAGGAGGTCACGAGACAGACCCTGCAGGTGCCATGGGTTGTACTGCTGCGTCAAGCTCGGTGCAGGAGGAGGTGGTCACGGGACAGACCCTGCAGGTGCCATGGGTCAACTAAGATGCATCACCTGTGTTCCCTGCTGTGCCAACTTTGCTGTGTTTAAGCCACCCGGCGCTCCGCTCGTTGTCGTGAGGGAAGTCACACAAAAAACAAAGACAAAGATCCCCCGTACAGCCTGAACAGACTGTCGTGGCAAGTGCTGTTAATGAGTCGCAGTGCCTATGATGGCCGGCAATGCGGCACACGAGGGGGTGGGTGGCCACCACTAAGCCCGACCGCCTTTGTCTCCCTAGTGGCGATGTTTACTACACACCACTGCACCAGGTACTCATTTTAGGCTGAGTCGACCTGAGGGGAGGCCCAGGAACCGGTTCAGATAATCGCTATCACTGGTGTTGGTGACCTTGAGCAGGAATTGAACTCGAGTCGCCAGGATCGTGGCATTAACCACTGCACCACCGCTCCCTACACACTCACACACACCTCACTCACTCACACTGACATCGTCGGGGACGGCGGATGCGAGATTTCCTGAGCCCATTCCGTTCTCTGGAGAAGAAAGTTACCAATCAAGAAAACAAAAATCACAAGCCAGTTTGGTGGTCGTCCTTCAGTTGGCGTGAGCACCGAACCGAGATAGAAGCCAGCAACAATAGCTTAATTTACCGCATAGAGACCATATACCCATATGGAGACTCTTAGATACCCATATAGATACAGAGACACATAGAGACTGATAGTGGTGGTGGTATTGATCATGGTGGTATTGATCATGGTGATAGTCGTGATGGTAGTGAAAGTGGCAGTGGTGATGGTCTTAGTAGTGGTGGTGATAGTGGACGTGATGATAGTTGTGATGGTAGTGCCAGTGATGGTGGCGATAGTTGTGATAGTGGTGATGGTAGTAAGTGGTGGTGGTACTGATTGTGGTGATAGTAGTGATGATGGTGGTGATAGTAGTGATGGTACCATGCACTCGGGAACCATCCAGCGCCTCCACGTAGATGATGAACATGCAGGGGTGGGACTTGAGGTCGACGCCGCGCTCACGGAATTTCATTGTCCCCGCGGCTTCCCACGTGTGCTTGTCTTTTACACACACACGCAGTGGACGTGGTGACGGTGGTGATAGCAGCGGTGATGGCGGCGGTGATGGCGGCAGTGATGTTGGTGATGGCGGCAGTGATGTTGGTGGTGATGGTGGCGGTGATGGTGGTGGTGAAATCCGCCAGGTCAGGAAACACAACGCGGTGGATAGATGTTGACTACTTTGCCTGGTATGCAGAAAGTCGTGGGTTCGATCCCAGACCCTGCGAGATTTTAACTCCATAGCCTGGTGTGCAGGTCGTAGGTTCGTTCCTGGACCCTGCGAGATGTTAACTACCTCACCTGGTGTGCAAGACGTCGTGAATTCAATCCCAGACCCTACGAGATGTTAATTCCCTCGCCTGGTGTGCAAGAGGTCATGAATTCAATCCCGGACCCTACGAGATGTTAATTCCCTCGCCTGGTGTGCAAGAGGTCGTGGATTCAATTCCGGACCCGGCGAGATGTTAACTACCTTGCCTAGTATGCAAGAGGTTGTGGATTCAATCCCGGACCCTACGAGATGTTAATTCCCTCGCCTGGTATGCAGGAGGTTGTGGATTCAATCCCGGACCCTGCGAGATGTTAATTCCCTCGCCTGCTATGCAGCACGTCATGGGTTTGATCCCGTGGCTCTGCCGATGCCTGCAGTTATATATTTGGAGTCTGCGTCTCTCTCTCTCCCCGTGGATTTTTCTCCGAGTCCTCCAGTTTGTTTCCCCTCCACATTTTGAGAATCGACGCCACTACGCGTTTATTTGGTTGCTGCTATGAATTTCCACATTGAGTTATAATTTGTGATTCGCCAGGTGGTCGCTTCTGAAAAAGAGCTACACAACTCAGTGGGTCCTTACACCTGGTAAAATGATAATAGTTTAACAGCAGGTCTGCTATCCGGCATTTTACCGTCCGGAATGAACGGTACACGTGTGTATGTATGTTTAACTTCTTTGGCACCAAATCAGAGGTGTGTGGGTGTGTGGATAAGTGGGCCAGTGTGTGGGAAAGTGTGTGGGTGAATGGGTGGTTGAGTGGGTGAATAGGTGGAAGAGTGTTTGGGAAAGGTTCTGGCATAGATTATTCAACCTCGCCTTGCTAGGCACGCTGAGGAGAGGCTTGCGGAGACTCAATGTGGTTTCAGGAAAGGGCGGTCCTGCACAGATGCCATATTTTCTGTCCGTCTGCTACAGCAGAGGTGTAGGGAATTCCAACAAGACCTACATCTCTGCTTTATTGACCTGATCAAGGCTTATGATACCATCAGTAGGCCAGGGCGCCGGGTTGTTCTTCGTGCTTTCGGAGTCCCTGACCCTCTGCTCACGCTCATTAAGGACCTTTATGATGGTGAGCGGGCCCAGGTAAAACTATGTGGCCGGGAGTCAGAGCCATTCCCTCTACACCTTGGGGTGTGACAGGGATGTCCTCTGGCTCCCACATGATTTAACATCTATTTTGACCACGTAGTTCGTGAAGCCTTCATTAGCTGTACCGGAGGAATTTCCATTTGGTACAGATATAATGGGAGGCTGATTGATGCACGGGTGCGGTCTAGGGATGGCTCCCTATTGCTCAACCACGTTATGTATGCCGATGATCTGGTAATTGCTGCTCACTCAGAGGAGGAGTTGGAGGCGCTGCTGCTGAACCTGGAGCATGCTACCAAGAGGTGGGGCCTTACCATCAGCCCCACCACAACTAAGCACCTGCCTGGGTATTTTGTACCATCGGACACGCCACCCCCACAACTCTCAATTGGTGATGGGGCAGTTGTGGAGAAGTGGAGAGTTTCCCATACCTGGGCAGTGTGCTCATGACCGGCTCCAGTTTAACAGCAGTTGTCTCACTCCGAATCAGTCGAGCGGCAATATCTTTTCATCGGTTGCGTAACGCTGTGTGGAAGCTACCTGGTCTGTCGCTCCGCACGAAGCTTCGGGTCTACTCAGCCACGGTCATTCCGTCCCTTCTCTTTGCTTGTGAAATGTGGCCGGTTAAAAACATTTAGGCTGGCCTGCCTACGATCCATCCTGGGTTTAAACAGGCTGGATTGTGTGAGGAGCTCACAAATCCTTGAAAGATGTGGACAAAGTCCCATCGGTGAGCTCCTCCGGCAGGCAAGGCTGCGTTGGCTGGGTTATGTAGCCCGCATGCCCAGCCACCGCATTCCTAAACAGCTTTTGTTCGACCGGATCGAGGGGGCTAAACGGGCACGGCACAGGCTAGAGAAGAGATGGAGTGATGTGGTACAGAAGGACGTGGAGCTGAGTGGACTTGCCGATGACTGGTACCAGCAGTGTCAAGATCGGCCTCTGTGGAGGAGGCTCGTGAAGGACGCTACTGGGCAGTTGGAGGCAGTCGCCCTCCAACAACAACGGAGGGCGGGAGGAGCGACGCTCACAACAACGAGCGGAGCGCCGGGTGGCTAAAGCATAGCAGGTTGGCACAGTAGGGGGCACAGATAGTGCATTAGCCAGTCGTCACAGTCAGTCGACCCGTGGCACCTGGGTCTGCCCCGTGACCTCCTGCCATCGGACGTTCGACACTTCACGTGGCCTCAAGGTGCACATTGCCTGGCACGAGCATCGTGGTGATGTCACCGCCACCTAGTGGCGAATGGCGATGGTGTTGTTGTGTGTACGATGATGTATGTGGAACTTCTTTCGGACCGTATGTCGCAAACCGTGCAATTCGGAGATGCATAGTGTCGTGTAGTAGTGTATAGTGTAGTATAGCTGTGTGGTGTGGTGTATAGTAGTGTAGTGTATAGCAGTGTAGGGTAGTCTGTAGTGTAGTGTATAGTGTAGTATAGTTGTGTGGTATATGGTGTGGTGTATAGTAGTGTAGTGTGTAGCAGTGTAGGGTAGTCTATAGTGTAGTGTATAGTGTAGTATAGTTGCGTGGTGTATGGTGTGGTTTATAGTAGTGTAGTGTGTAGCAGTGTAGGGTAGTCTATAGTGTAGTGTATAGTGTAGTATAGTTGTGTGGTGTATGGTGTGGTGTATAGTAGTGTATAGCAGTGTAGGGTAGTCTATAGTGTAGTGTATAGTAGTGTATAGTGTAGTATAGTTGTGTGGTGTATGGTGTGGTGTATTGTAGTGTCGTGTATAGCAATGTAGGGTAGTCTATAGTGTAGTGTAACTATGTTTAACTTTTGATTTAAAGCTTTCGTGACTGCAGTAATTCATATTCTTAGTTCTTTCGGTAAAGTCACGTTGAAGGGAAACAATAAAATAGATTATTATAGTTATATATATTTTATTATTTTATTGTTTCCCTTCAACGTGGCTTTACCGAAAGAACTAAGAATATGTTTAACTTCTTTGGCACCACCGTATGTAGCCAACCGAGCTAATTCGGAAGCGGCGGGGGCTGAGGACAACAAATCACAAGCACAACAACAGCGGCAGTTCTAAAGGAATTAATTTGTCAGCGTCTAGATAAAGGAGCGCGCCGGGGGAAGATTTTGCCACAATCTCTTTACCCCCTTCCCCCTTTTCTCCCATGAATGAGGGAGACTCATTGGAATGTATCTTTTCCGTGGGAGCCATCGACTCTCGTCAGAGGGATACACGGGAAGACGCTCAAACTGTCCGTGACGAAGGGCTTCAGATCGTCCTCGTTTGCCAGAGCCACTCTGATCGCTACCTGCAGTCACAAACAACACACACACAGAGACACACACAGAGACACGCACACACAGAGACACGCACACAGAGAGACACACACGCACACAGAGAGACACGCACACAGAGACACAGACACACACAGAGACATACACGCACACAGACACATGAAAAAAGATCCCCCGTATAGCTTTAACAGATTGTTGGGGCACGTGCTGTTAGCGAGCACCTATGAAGGCCGGCACGGCACACGAGGGGTGGGTGGCCAGCACCACGCCCGGTACTCATTTGAGGCCGAATCGACCTAGGAGAGACCCAGGACCAGTTCAGATAATCGTCACTGTTGTTCACCGTGAGCGGAAATCGAACCCGGATCACCAGGTTTACAGCGCAGTGCGCTATCCACTCCACTACCGTTCCCCACACACAGACACACACACCACACACACGGCCCTGGCGTAAATTGAGTACAGTAGTGGTGTGTAGTGTATAGTGCTGTATTGTATAGTGGTGGTGTATAGTGATGTAGTGTATAGTGGTGCAGTATATAGTGGTGCATAGCAGTGTAATGTTATAGTAGTGTGTAGTAGTGTGTTGTATAGTAGTGTGGTGTATAGTAGCGGTATTGTGTATAGTATTGTAGTTTATAGTAGTGTAAAGTAGTGTAGTGGTGTGTATCGTAACGTACTGTATAGTAGTATATAGTATAGTAATGTATAGAGTAGTGTATTAAGTAGTGTATAGTGTAGTATATAGTATAGTAGTGTATATAGTGTATGTACGTTGAACTTCTTTGGTACCGTACGTAGCCAACCATGCTAAACGGAGGTGCCAATCAAAACAATAATAATCCAAGTTTCTTTGAACGCCCTGAATAACCCACTCTCACCTCCAGTTCGTCCTGGATGTGCGGTTTGGCTTTGAGTGCGGCCCAGTGGTCTCTGTTTTGGTCATGGGTTAAACACGCAACACACACACATTTACAATTGTCACTGCATAGATGTTTGTGGTTGTTCAAGTCCACTTGGTTGAACTGCTATCATTGCGTGTGATGGCCAGGTCGCTTCTAATTAAGAGTTACACAGTCGCTCAGAAGTACATTACACCTGGTAACAATAAAAGTTTAGTTTAGTCTATGCGTCTCTATGTGTCTCTATTTGCCACTATGTATCTCTATGCATTTCTATTGGTCCCATGCGATGATGATGATGATATCAGTCACCTGGTTGAGCTGCTATCATTGCGTGGTGATGCCCAAGTACACTTATAGCAGCTCAGTCGTGTGGGGGGTCTTGCACATGGATAAAACATTTGAAAACAACAACTTTCTATCGGTTTTAGTTTCAGTGCAGCGCTAGTCAAACAGCCGCTTGAGTTGGGAAGGGGAGAGACCGTCATAGAGCGAGAGGAGAGAGGTGGAGGAGTGATGAGAGAGCGAGAGAAGAGTGAGAGGAGGAGGAGAGGGAGGAGAATGAGAGGGGAGAAAGAGAGGTGAGAAAGTGAGAGGAGAGTGAGAGAGGAGAGAGACAGTGAGGAGACGGTGAGGGAGGAGTGAGAGAGAGTGAGGAGAGAGGAGAGTGAGGGGGGAGAGAGAGTGAGAGAGGGGAGAGTGAGAGAGGGAGGAGAGAGAGTGAGGAGACGGTGAGGGAGGCGAGAGGGAGGAGTGAGAGAGAGAGAAGAGTAAGAGAGGGAGGAGAGTGAAAGGAGAGGTCTCGAGTAGAGAGGAAGGAGAGAGAGGAGAGGTCTCAAGTCCCCACCCCCCAGGGGTTATCCGGCATCACCTGCTGGCGAGGCCATACTGCAGCTTGACCTTGCAGATGACGGCGCCGCTCACGATGAAGAGTCGCGTCTCGGGGCTGGGGAAGGAGAACGGCTGCAACGGCATCCCTACACACACCGCGTAGCCTGTAACAGACGATCTAGTGGGGGGGGCAAATGGCTGTTAGTAGCGAATAGCCGCGCCTACAAAGGCCGGCACTGTGGCACGCACAGAGAGGGTGGCTGGCCAGCATCACATACACAGAGCTACACACAGACACAACAACAACCGCCATTCGCCACTAAGTGGCGGTGACGTCACCACGACGCTTGTGCCAGGCTATGTGCACGTCGAGGCCACGTGAAGTGTCGAACGCCTGCTGGCAGGAGGTCACGGAGCAGACCCAGGTGCCACGGGTCAACTGACTGAGATGACTGGCTGATGCACCACCTGTGCCCCCTACTGTGCTAACTTGCTGTGCTTTAGCCACCCGGCGCTCCGCTCGTTGTTGTGAGCGTCGCTCCTCCGCCCTCCGTTGTTGTTGGAGGGCGACTGCCTCCAACTGCCCAGTAGCGTCCTTCACGAGCCTCCTCCACTGAGGCCGATCTTGACACTGCTGGTACCAGTCATCGGCAAGTCCACTCAGCTCCACATCCTCCTGTACCACATCACTCCATCTCTTCTCTAGCCCGTGCCGCGCCCGTTTAGCCCCCTCAAGTCGGCAGAAGAAAAGGTGTTTAGGCATGCGGTGACTGGGCATGCGGGCTACATGACCCAGCCAATGCAGCCTTGCCTGCCGGAGCTCACCGATGGGGCTTTGTCCAGATCTATCAAGGATGTGTGAGCTCCTCACACAATAAGCCTGGTTAAACCCAGGATGGATCGTAAGCAGGCCATCCTAAATGTTTCTAACCGGTGAAGATGTTCCATTAGGGGTTCTACGTTTCACAAGCATAGAAAAGGGAGGGAATGACTGGCCAAGAAGACCTGAAGCTTCGTGCAGAGCGATAGATCAGGTAGCTTCCACACAGCGTTACACAACCGATGAAAAGATAACGCCGCTCGACTTATTCGGAGACCTCTGCTGTCAAACCGGAGCCGGTCATGAACACACTGCCCAGGTATGGGAAACTCTCCACTCTCTCCACAACTGCCCTATCACACACAGACACACACATACAGAGATACATACACACAGATTCACAGGCAGAGATGTATACATACACACATACAAAGACCAAGATTCCCCCTATAGCCTGAACAGACTGTTAGGGCAAGTGTTGTTAGCGGGCACCTATGAAGGCCGGAACGGCACACGAGGGGGTGGGTGGCCAGCACCACACCCGGCCGCCTTTGTCTCCCCAGTGGCGATGTTTACTACACACCACTGCACGAGGTAATTCATTTGAGGCCTAGTTGACCTAGGGGAGGCCCAGGACCCGGTTCGGATAATTGTCACCGTTCCTAGCGCAGCAAAGCGCGAATCGCTACCCCACCGCTCCCCGCCCTACACACACCCTACTCTGTGAAGAGAGTGAGAGAGACAATGGGTGAGAGGAGTCCTCGACTCACGACACCACATTAACAAGAGTTGGCTAGGAGATGTTATCTCCCTCGCCTGGTGCGCAGGAGGTCGTGCGTTCGATCACTGGACCCTGAAATATGTTATCTCCCTCGCTTGGTATGCAGGTCAATGGTTTGATCCTGATCCTACTCTTTGGTTCTATTGGGTAAAGTCACGTAGGTGAAAATAAAATAACAAAAAATCACGACGTTTCGGCCACAACACAAGCGGCCCTCATCAGGTGAAGGGACGAGACTGTCTGGAGGACAGCGCTGGAGTGGAAGAAGCCACGCTTAGATCACGACCTTTAAGCTTGTGATCACGGCTTAAAGGTCGTGATCTGAGAGTGGCTTCTTCCACTCCAGCGCTGTCCTCCAGACAGTCTCGTCCCTTCACCTGATGAAGGCCACTTGTGTTGTGGCCGAAACGTTGTGATTTTTTGTTATTTTATTTTCACCTACGTGACTTTACCCAATAGAACCAAAGAGTATGGATCCTAGAAGTCACGAAAGCTTTAAATCTAGGATCCTGATCCTGTCGATGGCTGTTATATATTCGAGTTTGCATGTCTTCTCTCTCCATGGTCGCGTGGCTTTTTCTCCGGGCGATCCGTTCTATCCCCTCCACGTTTGGAATCGACATCAACACGCGCCTAGAGTATTTGGCTGCTGCTATAAATGTCCACGTGATGATGATGATATCAGCCACTTCATTGAGCTACCATCATGCGATGGGCAGGTCGCTTCTGAGCTGCACAGTTCAGTGGAGCCTTACCTGGTAAAATAAAAATACCTTACTCATTACTATAGGACTGCTTTTTGTGTTTTAATTTGTTGTCCTTTCCCAGTACCTCCGATTAGCACGGTTGGTTACTATGTACGATGCGAAACAAGTTAAACATACATACACCCACCCACACACCGTTCAACATACATACCAACATCCACCCGCCTAACTTACCCACCTACTCACTCACTCACCTATTCACCCACCCTCCTCTGATTAGCAGGGTTGGCTATGTACGGTGCCAAAGAAGTTCAACAAACATACAAACATCCACCCACCCAACTTACCCAACTACTCACCTACTCACTCACCTACTCACCCACCTACTCACCCACCTACTCACCCACCTACTCACCCACCTACTCACCCACCTACAATGAGCACGATTGGCTACGTAGTTCAACAGACAGAATGAAAACCAAAACTGCTCTAGAGGAGTTGTACACCCCTAGCTGCCACTGCTATTCAGTAGCCTAAAATATGGCTCTAGGGTTTGGTATTATAATTTATTTATGTAGTTTATGTTAAAAATTCGGTCACAGTCCCTATGATCACTGTTACATTGCATTTATGGCTTTTATTTTGGTGATTTCGAAAACGTTTTTTTGGTTTGGCCATGTATTTGTTTATTGTAGTATGGAGTTAGACTGATGGCCTTAATCTTAGTTGTCTTGTGGTTGTTGTTGTTGTTTGACTTGCATCCCACTGGGATTTTTGCACACAGCGTTGGTGTACGGTGCTATTTCAGGAATATTTTGATGTTTTTTTCCTGGATTTTCTGTCTGCACAGTCACACATAATCACTTTAGGATCTTTTCTTGTTCGTGTTTTTAGTTTGTTGCGGTTGCACCCGATTCAAGAGCCGAACGGCTCACAGGGGCTATACCAAAATAAATGAAAAACTAAAACTAAATAGGCGGATAGACGGCACGTGACGGACTGGGCGATACGCCCTTCCTTGAAACGACGGCACTGCCAAGTTACCCCGGACGCGGTCGCGTTCAGCCCGTGAGAAAATTCCCGAATGCCGAGAGGTCGCTTCCAATGTCCGCTTCGTTTCGTCCGCTGTCCGCAGGCCACGCTGCCGGTCTACTCGCAAGGCTGCGGCAGCCGCCAATACAGATCCAAAGGCGGTTTCTGCTGCAAGCTCTGTCCTGCAGGTAACCAGATGGACGGCGGGGGGGGGGGGGTAGTCCTGACATGTTCTCTCAACCTATTTTATATTCTACCAGCAGTAACTAATTTCACGAGCAGTAACTAATTGGAACGTTTTGTTCACGTGACAAAAACCCCTGACTAAATTGGCTGTGTGTCTGGCGACGGCGGTGGCGACGGCTGGCTGGCTGGCTCGCTTAACGACCACACGCAACATTTACATGAAATGTATGAACAAATAAGAATAGGTTTTATCCTTTCTGGCAATAAAACAGGAGGTGTTAAGATGCTCAAACAACAAATTGAAACCTTTTCATTTTTCGCGGATAATGTTATTGGCTCTACAAAAGCCTTTTCAATTAATTACCCGAAAATAAATACCTAAATAAGCTATTAAATATACGTGAAAATTATCTCACCACTTTGCCTCTCATAAATGTGCCTCTCGTCGATGTGTCTCCGTCTCCCATCACTTTCTCTCTTATCACCACTTCATTTTATCACTCGAAATATCACGATGCACACGCTCGCCCCAACGGGCACAAGGGTTAAAAACGCAACCGTTAAGTAACGTGCATTCCCATTTTCTGCTTTCTCTAACCCCCCTCCTCCTCCTCCTTCCCATCTCCCCAGGCAGGTTCCTGGAAGAAGAATGCCACTCGCAAGGAAGCGCGTCCTTCTGCGATGCTTGTCCTGGCGGTTTCTACACGGCCATCGAGAACTACTCCGAAAAATGCTTCAAATGCAAGCCGTGCGAATTAGGTGATTCACCACAACCATTCCTTCCGCCGAAACCGAGCCTTGTTGCTATTATGTAAGGAGCACCAACGGTGGCCAAGAGATGCTAACTACCTCGCCTGGTATTCAGGAGGGCATGGATTCGATCCCGGACCCTGCGAAATGTCACCTTCCTCGCCTGGTATGCAGGTCGTGGATTCGTTCCAGGGTCCTGCGAGATGTTGCCCCTTGGCTAGTATGCAGGAGGTCGCGAGTTCAACCCCAACCCTGACGCCTGCTGCTGTACATTTGGAGTTTTTCAATGTCTTTATCTGGATTTTTCTCCGGGACCTCCGGTTTTTCCCCTCAACGTTTAGAATCAACGTGACGCGTGTAAGATGAAGGTAGTTGTACAGTCAACCCTTCTGCATCGCGACTTTCCTCATCGAGGTTCCGATATATCGCGGGGTCGGCATAAGGAATTAAATGGGAAGTTTTTGGGCCAGCAGACAACACACCAAAAGTCTCGTAACTCATAACTGCATAAAATATATGTACAGTACTGTATAATATTAATGTATTTTTATCTTTAATATGCCGTAAATAAACACACGCAAAGGCTCACAGCGCCCGCCCCCCCCCAAACCCCCCCGGCAGGAGGTGCTCGCTTCGCTCGCGAACGGGAACAAAACATTTTATGCGTTTTTTTTCCCAGATCGCGGGGGAGCCTGCGCCCCTAACCCCCGCGGCATGGGTCGACTGTAATTACTGGCGAAACGTCGTACTCAAATAGTAAACGTTGTGGCTCTGCTCTCCAACACACCGTTGTGCTGTACTAGTAACGAATTGGCCACGTTCTGTTTACGTGACACACCTTACTGTTTGGCTGTGTCGGGCGGTGGCGGGTTTAACGACGTTAATATATATTCTTAGTTTTTTCGGTAAAGTCACGTTGAAGAGAAACAACGTCGTGAGAATTTTTTTTATTGTTTTATATATATTTTATTATTTTGTTGTTTCTCTTCAACGTGACTTTACCGAAAAAACTAAGAATATGAATTACTGCAGTCACGAAAGCTTTAAATCAAGACGTTAATATATTTACGCAATCTGACCCAATGAACCTGTATTATGGGTGATATTGGTCGCGAAAGCCGACGTGTTAAACTGCGCGTGAGAGTGTCTGGCAGCCGCTTCGCGTTACACGAACTAATCATGTAAAGCACAGTCCGCGATGAACACACGCGAGATGATGCGTACGCGCAGGGCCTGAACAAAGGGCCGAGCGAGGTGCGCGTGTAGGGCAGCGTCCAGAAGCAGCATCAACCAATGCCCTCGCACGACGCTGACGACGCCACCACCACCGCCGCCGTCAAGGCAGCCGTTGCGACCAACCGCTTGTTCCTACTCACGCGCACGACAGTGGTGGTGGTGGTGGTGGTTCCCGGGCGCTCGGTCACGTCACGTAAATCCAATTCGCGCACCCAGCGTTCTAACAAAAAACTGTGTTTAAAAAATGGAACCTTTTTGCCAGTGAAGTACGAAAAAAAACAACTTTTTTTTCACACTTTGATACTGGAAAAAAGGTCCCATTTTGTAGCTGCTCAACCCCAAGCTATAAATGCTCTGATAGTGGCATTGTCCTTGTGCTGTTCGTCTTTTGGTGTTGTTCTCTGGTCTGACACTGGTAGTGAGACTAAGCTCTAAAGAAGGCTGCTCTCTCTGGTGTAGGCCAACCAGTTTCAAAGACAATGCCTGGATGTTATCAGAGCCATGTTTGTTTGCATGTTCACCACAAGTAACGCACATGGTTAACGCAGTAACTTGATTCCTAGCAAGAGGTTTCTGTTTGGTGTTTTAACATCTTAACTCCTGTTTTATTGTCAGAAAGGGTACAAACCTATTACTCTTTGGTTCTTTCGGTAAAGTCACGTAGGTATAAAATAAAATAAATTAAATCACGACGTTTCGGGCACAACACAAGCGTCCGTCATCAGGTGGGACAACCACAGCAAGAAACAATTGCTGATACAAACATAGATACAAACCTATTCTCGTTCTTTTTCCTTCAAAGAACGCATTCCCCCCCCCCATACACCCGTCGCGTTAAGCAGCACAGCGAACCCTCGCTTTAACCGACTAATGGAGGGGGAAGGGGCTGTCCGTAGAATCCGATTGTCCATTAATGGCCAAATGACGTAGCACGAAATCACACCGCGCACCCTACCGCGCACAAACGACTTACCGATAGTGATGATAATTATAAAATATTCTTGGCTCTTTCGGTAAAGTCACGTAGAAGGGAAATAATAAAATAATACAAACAAAACAATCAAACTATCACGACGTTTCGATTGCAACACAAGCAATCATCATCAGGTGTGAAAACCAAAGCAAGAACATTTTTTGAAAAAAGTGGAGTTTTTTTTTTACGTTAGCACCATGGGCAGCGACTAGCATTGTTCAGAAGGACGAGTCCATCTATGCTCGGAACGGAGGAGGGGGGAGAGAAGGAGAATGGAATGCGGTCTGAAAGTCACCGTAAACGTGAACACAATCAAGCAAGACCCGAAATGGTTGATCACATCCTTCCAATGATTGCTAAGCCAGAATCCATCTTCTCGGTTGAAATTGTCTCTGTGCTTGTATATGTGGATAGCCTCATGAACGAATCTCTCATGGTAGCCGGATGGCTTGCAGAGAACCTCCAATGTCAACGCAGTGATAATAAGTGTGGTAATAAGTTTTGATTTAAAACTTTCGTGACTGCAGTGATTCATATTCTTGGTTCTTTCGGTAAAGTGACTTTACCGAAAGAACCGAGAATATAGTGCGGTAATACCTGTATATTACTAATACAGTAATGCATTACAGTACTAATACTGTAATACAGTTCTGTATATTCACACATTCTAACTTTGCATGCACGATTTGAGTGGAGGGTTTTCATGTAAATCCTTTTGCATTGTAACGCCATAGAAACCTGTTCTGTTGAAACTGTCCCAAGTGTCAAGCGATGTTAGGCATACCTCGATGCTGTGCTGTCAAATATATTTTTTTAAAAACCAAAGTGCCGTAAATGTCTTGTAACAACTCAGTTCCCACTTTTATGTCTCCTATTTTGACCGATTTTAAACAAGAAAAAAACCCACGTGTGGTGTAATAAACACTGTGCGCCTATTGAGGGGGAGAAGCGAATATTGAACGGACAGATTCCCCCGTGACCGGACTTGGTCCGCTGCTTGAGGAAACGTCCCTCCTTGTCGTCGTTGTCCGATCATTGGACAAAACAAAACTCCGATTGAGCGCATTTTGTCCGTTAAATCCAAGATCCGTTGAATGGTCCCGCTTAACCGAGGGTTTACTTTATCTCACAATTCCCGTCGTGAGGAGAAAAAAAAACAATGCGGCGTTATAGAACGGGCTGCAATGACAACGGCGATGACGGTGGTGGAGGCGGCGATGTTGTCAAACCCCCTCCTCCCCTCCTTTTTGCTTCCTTTCCTCACCGCCCACAGACGAGGTGGAAGAAAGTCCGTGCAGCGCATCCTCGGACAGGGTCTGCAGGTGTATGCCGGACTTCTACAAACGGGAGGGTGAACACTTTTGCAGGCCACAGGCCCCCACCGCGACCGCAGGTACGCACATCCACCGTACGTAGCCAACCACGCTAATTGGGAGGTATGTGGGTGAGTGGGTGAGAAATTTGGGTGGGCGAGTGGTTATACGTCGAACTTATTCTGCACCGCACATAGCCAACAGCGCTAATGGCTCGCCCCAAAAAATGTATCGCCCCCCGAATAGGGCCACTGTGGCTATGAGATGTAAACTCCCTTGCCTGGTTTACAGGAGGTCGTGGGTTCGATCCTGACCCCAACACCTGCTGTATATTTGGAGTTGCGGGGTCTCTCTCCCAGTGGTGGTCACGAGGATTTTTCTCCGGGTCCTCCGGGTCTTACCTTAGAATCAACATCACGCATTTAGAGTATTGTGTGTCCCTAACTCTCTCTCTCTCTCTCTCGCGTGCTTCCCCACCCCTCTTATATATCCCTCAAGCCCACTTTCCTCAAAGGTTCCTGGACCCTCTTCCCGCTTTCCCCTCCAGCCAATCACATTCCGACTTTCTCCTAACGAATCCCCCAACTAACCCACCCCTGTCAATCATTCCCTCCATCTACCCACACTTTCCGTTTTGTGTCGCTTCCTTTCACAATCGCCTGCAATGTCCCCCTGCTTCTAAACAATCCACTTTCAGGTCCCGTTAGGTAACCAGAGGGGTTTGTTTTGACTTCTTGATTATCCATGTCACGCGGTGGTGTCCACATTAGGTGAGTATCGTTGGTAGTGATACAATCTCTAGACAACAATCGGCGGTCTCCTCCAGTAGCCACTACGCTGATGTGCCGTTGTTTGGGAGACCCATAGACTCAAGTAAAGCTAAACTTTATTTTACAAGGTATAAGGCCCCACTGAGCCACTGCGTAGCTATTTTTCAGAAGCGTACCTGCCCGTCACAAATTATGGCAGCTCAACCAAGTGGTGGATATCATCACCATCACGTGGAAATGTATATCAGCAGCAAAACACTCTAAATGCATAGAGATACATAGAGACCCACAGAGATAGAGACCCATAGACTAAAATATATTTAACCAGGTAAAGCCCACTGAGCTATGCAGCTTTTTTTCAGAAGCGACCTGGCCACCACACGTGATAGCCCAACGAAGTGGCTGATGTTACCATCATGTGCAAATTTATATCAGCAGTCAAATACTGTGAACATGAGGAGGGAAAAACCGGAGTTAGACCCGGAGGAAAAAACCACGCGACCACCACGGGGAGAGACACGCAAACTCTAAATATACAGCAAGTGTCAAGGTCAGTATAGGACCCACAACTCCTTGTATACCAGGCGAGGGAGTTAACATCTCCTCGCCACCGCGGCGAGATGGAGAATGGCTTCATACGCTGGTGCAAGCCCCAACAATGCCTGATTCACAAATGGCCCCTCCCTTTTAAACGGTCGTGTTTTTCTGTGCGTGTGTGCGTGCGTTTTTCACAGATTCCCAAGCATCTGATGGACCCACCCTTCCGATTGCCATTGGCTGTGCTGTTGTCGGGTGTCTTTTAGTCGCAGCAGTGGCTTGTTATGTCCTGATAAGGAAATTCCGGCGACGCGGTAAGCACCTCCTGATTTGTGCAGTTGGCTATGTACGGTGCAAAAGAAGTTCAATATACATACTACACTGCTATACATTACACTATACACTAAACCACTATACACTGCACTGCTACACACTATACTACTATACACACTACCCTAGGCATTAAACGATACACTATGAGTCTGGGCAGACTTGTCGCAAATCCCCTCGGTGCCGGTAGCAGTCGTTAGGCGTTTGTGGATATGAGTTTTGGTCATTACTGTGGAGGTTTGTACTGACTATCAGAAAGGTCATAAAAGTCGGGGCTCACCTGTATGCTAAATTGAAAACGAATTTCTTTAGAACTGCTTTTTGTTGCGTTTAGTGAGTTGTTCTACCCCCGCACCGCCGGCTGGCTACGTACGGTGCCAAAGAAGTCCAACATGCACAACGTAAAAAAAAATGTTCTGACCCCGTGTCCCATGCTGGACATCTTTGAAAAAGAGCTTCATAGCTCATCGGATTTCTCCAGGATGAATAAAGTATTTCCGATTGCGATTCTAGGGATTCTGAAATGTCCTTTGTCTTCCTCTTGTTTATCCACAGCCAATCCGGAGAATTACGGTATTCCGATGGAGGTAACGTCAAATATATCCAAGAGCAGTCGAGACAACATTGTCAACAACCAAGCACAGCTCGAGCCGCTTATTCACACTTCCGTTTGCTCTAATGGGACCGTCTTGGTAAGCAATTCAGCGATTCCCCTCTTGCGCCTGCATGAGAATATACGTTTCTCTCGTTATGTGCAACATTTCCCACGTTATTGATGAGCTTTATTGGCTCTACGGAGAAAACTCTACACCTTCGCAATGAATTACCTAGATTTAATATGTAAATTAGATAATAAATGTGAAGATTATCCCTAACTGCTGTATCGTCCACCATCACTAATAATCTGTCAACTTTATTTCTCTCGATGCCGCAGTCGCGTCATGGGTGTGCAATGCTTTATATTACCATGTTCACCACAAGTATATGTGGTTAATGCAGACATGATTCCTTAAAAATGGTTTCTGTTTGGTGTTTGAACATCTTAACACAACTATTTTATTGCCAGAAAAGGTCAAATCTTTTTTTATACTTTGATACTGCAAGAAAGGTACCATGTTGCTCTCAGCATTATTCGAGAGACTGTATGTTGTCCTGTATGAATGTACGTTGAACTTCGTTTGCACCGTATGTGGGCAACTGTGCTAATCGGTGGGTCTCTGTAGGTCTCTATGGTTGTCTAAGTATAGGGGTCTCTCTATGGGTCTATGGGTGTGTCTATGGGTCTGGGTGTACAGTCGGCCCGTCCACATCGCGGGGGTTAGGGGCGCCGGCCCCCCCCCCCCCCCGCAATCCGTAAAAAACACGTAAAATGTTTTGGTCCCCTTGGTCCCTTTGGTGAGCGAAGTGAGCTCCTCGAGCCGGGGAGTTCGGCGCTGTGAGCCTTTGCGTTTCGTCTGCTGGCATTCGCATTATTTTCGCAAACTTTAGCTTTTTACAAAATGTAACTTTAAAAAATTGAGTATTTATGTTTTGATTTAAAGCTTTCGTGACTGCAGTAATTCATATTCTTAGTTCTTTCGGTAAAGTCACGTTGAAGGGAAACAATAAAATAATAAAATATATATAAAACAATAACAATTCTCACGTTTCGACCATAACACAAACGGTCGTCATCACACCTTCAACGTGACTTTACCGAAAGAACTAAGAATATGAGTATTTATGGTATTAAAACATTAAATACATTATTATACGGTACTTAACAAATATTTTATGCATTTTTGAGTTACTAAACTTTTTGTGTGTCGTCTGCTGGACTTTACGTGTCGTCTGCGGCTTTCGCAAAACTCCCCAAAAATTCCCATTTAATTTCTTATGCCGACCCCACGATATTTCGAAACCGCGATGGGGAAAGTTGCAATGCAGAAGGGTCGACTGTATATGTAAGTTGAATTGTTTTAATTTTGTTGCCTTGTTCTAAGCTTGCATTCAGTGTTGAACGACCGGCAAGAATGTATGCACTTATGCAATTTGTCCTTGCTTATGTTACTTACTATTTGTCGACTTGATTGCCATTTTCTCTAATTGTGTTTGTCGTTGTAACTTGCTGACCCCGTGCCACAGTGGCTAGGGAGATGTAAACTACCTCGCCTGGTATGGAAGAGGTTGTGGGTTCTATCACCTGACCCTGACAATGCCTGCTGCTGTATATGTCAAGTCTGCATCTCCCTCTCTCTCCCCATGGTGGTTGCGTGGATTATTTGTTTCTTGCCTTCCCCATTCACCGGGGGGACCTCAACAACGTCCCTCATCATCACTTGAAGTCACGCGCAAGGCCCTTTTTGGACCCGCGTGCTGGTAACCTTCAAGAACAAAGCTTGGAAAGCTAAAAGGAGTTCAAAAGAACTCGGACAAAACGCATCCCTGTGAAAGAACCGATGCAGAAAATTCCCGGGGTTTTGATCTCCCACGAAGCTGATCTTATTTGTTTTTCAGTTTGATTTATTTTGGTATAGCCCTGTGAGCCATTCGGCTCTTGAATCGGGTGCAACCACAACAAACAAAAATAACAAAAAACACGAACAAGATCATGGTCCACACCCCTAAACAGCATAATCCCATCGCACAAACCACAACAGCAGCAGAAGACGCGGATACCCGATGCACAAATGGAAGATTAAAAACTCTCCAGTGGTAGTGTGGCAACCGTTGGTCATCCAGAGCAGGGAGCGTAGTACAATAATTGATGACGCAATAACGCCCCGAACCACAAATACGAAGTTAGACATCACCATGGCGATAATGATACTACTCCACTTGCTACTCCTGACGCGATTATCTGCTTGGCTTGACCACCTGCATGTGACATTATTGTAGCCGTCGTGTGCTTTGCATCTACACCGGCCGTACGACCCAAGATCGTCGCTTGTGCGCCACTGTCTCCGATTAGTAAGAACGGTTCTGGCGACGTTTCTCCGCATCGTTTCGATTTACCGCAGCTCTTGTGCGTCGTGTTATCCCTCAGGTACAACCAACTGACTATTCAAGATATAATAAACCCGTCACGGGTAAGTAATTTTTTTTTACTTGACAGTTGTTCCCTCGTTATTCGCAACGAGAGATACGTTTTGGAGACGCTCGTGTGAAGAGCAAATTTCGCCGATGATATTGGCTTGACGAATATCGTACGCGCAACGGCTGTCAGATGCCTTCTAAAGCTTTCGAGAAGTTCTCTCTCTCTCATCTCTTTTTCTGATGACTTTATTTAATCACTTTAGCTCTCACCGCTTTATCTCTCGTCATTCTCTCTCTATCTCTCTCATCGCTTTCTCTCTTGATGCAGCAAGCGTGCAGAGTTCCAAAATGCCATTCGCGGACGGCCAAAAAAAATTGCAGATAGCCAAGTTCTCAACATTCGTTTCGGTCGTCTCAACCTCTTACCACCGGCCCCAACAAAAAAAAGGCCGCCAGTTTTTGACAATAACGTTTGTGACAAGAGTTTCACCACTCAAACGTATTTCCCCTTTGCAGAGGAAGACCTCGTGGAAATCCACAAGGCTCGAGCAAACAGCTCGGCGGTGGCCTTCGTGAATGTGATGAGGAACGCCGGTCTTTCGGAAATAAACATTGAAAGGATCCAGCACGACCACAAAAACAACGTGGAGGAGCAAAACCACAAGATGTTGTCTGAGTGGTTGCAGGTGATGGGTAGGAAAGCCACATTTGCCGCCCTTCTAAAGGCTATGGATGAGTGCCGTTTCCACAAGCTGAGCGAGGACTGCCAGGACAAGTTTGACGAAATAATTAAACGGAAAGGTCTTCAAAAATCCGACAAAAATTATGATGACAAAGATGGTCAAACGGGTGAGGTGTATTGCACAGAATAAACTAAACAAGAGAAAACACAAACTTGCATCTCTCTTTAGCTGTGAAGCTGAACCAAAGCACCATTTTGGAGTGGGTGTATTACGTGTTGTTGGAGGGAAAAAAAGCAGAGGACCCGCGAGGAAAAAATCAACGCAGACCACCACAGGGTGAGAGACACACATTCAAAATATACACCAGCAGGCGTCAGGGGTTCCGGATAGAACCCACGACCTCTTGCATACCAGGCAAGGTAGTAAACATCTCCCAGCCACCGCGTCTTGAGGCCGCAGTTTACACGAGCTACTGACCATTGTGGTGGTAGGGCAACGGGGCTAAACTGTACTGATGAGCCCTAATGAAGGTGAAACCGGTATGAGCACCGTTGCACATCAGAGCAACATGAATATATTGGTTAACACGTAGGAGGCTTTCGCGACAAATATAATCCGTAATAAAGGAGTTTTTTGTGGGTTAGATGGCGTAAATATAAATGTAGTCTCGTTAAACACTGCCGCCACCACCCGACAGCCAATCCGTAAGGAGTTAGTTATGTCAACACAATTCTGGCAAATTTCCCAATGGAGCTGCTGGTTGTTGTAATGACTAGTGAAACATCACACACCAGCTAACTCGAATTGTAAAAAGTTGTTGTGCATTTACTACTCTCCAACACACACAACCGGTTTAGTGCACCAAACTAAGTAAACTAAATTGGCCGCGTTCTGTTTTACATGACACAAACCCCCTCACTTGAATGCCTGTGTGTTGATTGGTGGTGACGGTAGTGGGTTCAACGGCACGCATTTATATTCAACACAATCTAATAAATAAAAAATACCTTTACTATGCAGGAATATATTTGTGTCGCCGAAACTGCAATGGGCGTGCACAGGTTAGCAAGTCGCACGCGCGGATGCAGGCGTGCGGGTGGGGTTGACCCTGGGCGGCCCCTCCACCATCATCATTCCCATCAGGGGCAGTTATAAAATGAGGCGTACTTTGTGGGAAATTCAGCGTAAGTACTTGCGTACGTTGAACTTCTTTGGGCATCGTACGTAGTCAACCACGCTAATCGGTAGGTGGCGGGCGGGCAGGGACAAACCGACCTTTTAGCAAGATGTCACGTTGATCGATTGCCAGCAGAACATCGCACAAAATTGTTCCAATAAAAAAGAAACCTCGCTATTCAACATTCCAGTTTTACAGAAACAGATTTTTTTTATATATAATAATCCATTTTTCATATTTGCCCCCGTGACAACTTGGATTTGATTGGCCACGATTGATCTAAGGACACGTGTACGTTGAACTTCTTTGGCGGCGTATGTAACCGTGCTAAAAATAGGGAGAAACTACAAACACGAAGAGCAGTTCTAAAGGTCTACCCGAAACAAACGTTCAATATGATGACTCAAAACTGGTAAAGTATAAATCGGTGCGGTGCAGCTTATTGCGGCTCCAGTGTGCATCCGGTCTGCAGTTGCCATGTTGCCTCACTGCCACAACATTTAAGGTCAAAACATTCTCCCCCTTTTAAAATCTGGGAACTCGGAGAGGGGTAACCGGTGTGTGTGGACCGGAGGTGTTAACTGCCTCGCCTGGAATACAGGAGGTCCGCGGGTTCGATCCCAACCCTGACGATGCCTGTTGCTATATATTTAGTGAGAGGTTACCTCCCTCGCCTGGTATGCATGAGATCGTGGGTTTGATCCCGTGACCCTGATGATGCCTGCTGCTGCTCTTGCATATTTGGAGCCTGTGCGTCTCTCTTCTCTCCCCGTGGTGGTTACTGCGTGGATATTTTTCCTTCCGGGTCTTCCGATTTTCCTCTTCCATGTTTAGAATCAACATCTCCGCTTGTTTAATAAAAGCATTTGGCTGCTACTCTGAATGTCCACTCGAGGATAAGCCACTTGGTTGAGCTATCCTTTGTGATGGCTGGGTCACTTCTGAAAAAAAGTCACGTCGGTCAGTTGGGGGGCGGGGAGCCTTACATCTATCTGGTTAAACATCAAAAACTATTTATGGTTTTAGGTTTGACTTTCATGCTTTTCCTACAAAGTGGCAGTGGACGATGTCACCGTTTGCGAGCATAAAAGCCGCCTCAAATATTTAACCCCACACTTTTTATCCCGGTTCCATTACGATGACGTACGTCATATAACTTGTATCAGTACACCGAGGGCTCGTCCCACAAGGGCGATGCGAATGGGGCGGAGGGGAGCGTGCATGTGCGCGCGTGTGGCACAGTTTTTGGCACCGGCTATTGTTGTGTGACGGGGCGGTCCATGCCACTACGCTTCTCTCTGCGGTGAGTAACAATGTCTTTGAAAACTAACTAAATTATTTATATTTTAGTAACGCTATTTATATTTTAACACCGGAGCCCGCTGGCACGTATTTCCGAGATTTAGCAGTGGAATGGGGGATGCCCAGAATCAGAATACTGAATTTATACTGCAGGAATCCGATGAGCTACGAAGCTCTTTTTCACAGATATCCAGTAGGGAGGGGCAGAACATTACAATAACAAACAATAAAAACCTACACAGCCACCCTGCAAACTTGCAAGACGTCATGGGAAATGGGAAAGGGGGTTAAGCATTTTATGATTATCTGGGGCAAACGGATGGTGTGGTCCATAGCAAAGCTGCAGTTGCTGGCTCTGTCTTTGCAGCCGATTCTCCATGAGATGAGGTTTATATTGGAGGGGGGGGGGGTAAAAGGGAAGTTGGACCCAGTTTAAAACTCGGATAACGCAAAACACTGCGGTGAATGAGGCGATTAAAGAGTATTTGGATACTGCTGTAAATGCCCACGTGATGATGATGATATCAGCCACTTCTCGTTGTTCTGCTATCATTTGTGATTGCCAAGTCGCTTCTGAGTAAGAGCTACGTCATAGCTCAGTGAGGCCTTACACCTGGTAAAATAACAAGATTAGTTGAGTTTAGTCTATGGGTCTCTAGGTATTTGGTTGCTGTAAATATTCACGTGGTGATGATGATATAAGCCACTTCTCGTTGATTGTCTATCATTTGTGATGGCCAGGGCGCTTCTGGAACCGTTAACTAAACATGTACAAAAATCGAAAACAGGCAAGTCCTCGCTTATCGCGAAATCGTGTGGAACACCGATTCGTTACGAGCGCTCTTTTGTCCTGGAGATTATTTAAACCAATAATGTTTAAGAAACTAAAAAAACGAGAAAATAAAAAAAATCTACAAAGCTCTTACGAACGAGGAAACGTCACCTTCACGCCGGCCCCCATCATTCGCTCAGCCAATGAGAGCGAGGCATGACTTCAGAGCCAATCAGAACCCCACTACCACCCCCACCACTATTCCATTATCACGATTCGTGGGAGCGATTGTAATATTACTACAGTTAGAATGCACATAAGAGTACAGTACATATGTAATAATAATGAAAACAATTCTTATTCATGAGATTATAGTTGCCTACCTGTATTAATATTGGCACTATTACCGATAGCCCACATCAAATCCCTCGCATACAAATCGCTTGCACGAGAGAAATAACGCCTAGTTGGAACGCTATGCCCCACGTGCACATTGGATGCCACAGTACGCAGGAGGTCGTGGGTTCGATCCCGTGACCCTGACGCCTGCCGTATATTTGGAGTTTGCGTGTCTCTCTCCCCATGGTAGTCGCGTGGCTTTTTCTCCGGGTCCTCTGGGGATTTCCCTTCAAATAAAAAATAGTTTATAGTTTAGTTTATAGCACCCCCCCCCCCCACCCCCGTTAGCGCCAATTTCAGTTAGCGCTCCCATCTCACGGGAATGACGAACAAATGCGTCGAGTAGCATCGCTAAGCGAGGTTCGACTGTAATCCGACTTTTTTTATCCAAAAAAAACCCCCTCATCCGTGATATCTACATCGCAATTTGTCAATCTGTGTGCGCCAGTTCATTCGCAAATCGGATAAACCGCACGCGCGGATAATCGAGAGCCTAACTGTGTTTTGTTTGAGAGCGATGACCCGATCGTGATGGATAAAACACGAACGCTTCACGTGATGTGTTAATGTTGCATGCTTTAAATGTCGCGAGATGCTCTCTAGAAGATGGTGTGGAACAATCAGTTTCAAGGACAATGCATCATATATTATCATAGTACGTTTTTTGTTTGCATTTTGACTGCAGGTATTGTGGTTAATGCAGACATGAATCCTTGTAAAAAGGTTTCAGTTTTGTTGCCAGAAAAAAGGGGAAAAACCCCTATTATAAGATGGTGATTGTTTGCGTGCAACATTTTAATCTTTTTTTTTATCACATCCTGTGTCATATTAAGCAAGGCAAATGTTTTCCTGATAAGCTTTAACGAAGAGTATCACGTATTTTATAAATGGTTTTTACCTTTGTCGGGCAATAATAAAACACGAGTTGGTGTTAAGATGTTCAAACACCAAAGACACACCTATTGCAAGGCATAAAAGTCTGCGTGAACCACACATCATGATTGTGGCAGAACATGCACACAAGGATGCTCTAATACAAATAATAACTAGCCTTTTGCCCGTCCGAGGACGGGTGTATTTCAGTAAATCTGATACTTGCAAGCAACACCACAATGTGATATTAATTGCATCAATTCGTGTGCAATTTGTAAGGCTGCGGTGACACAGACTTATTTAATTTAAAGGTTATAATCCCTTGTTCATCATGACATCCTTTTTACTTCTATGTCTCAACAGCGTTACGGAGATCGCATGACGCGAGGGTTCTGCCTTTGTAGTGAGGGTTGTAAGTTGAAGCGGAGGAGAGGGGAGGAGGTGCCTCGCCCCCCCCCCATGTGCAGTGACGTCACCCGCTCATGATTATTAATGAGGGGGGGTCCATGTGGAGGACATCGCCTGTTCATGATTATTAATGAGGGGGGCTGGCCGACGTGGAGTGAAGTCATGCGTGGGACACACAGACATTCTTGGCTCATTATAGTAGTAAATAATGCATGCATTGTCTTTAAAACGAATTGGCCTAAACCAGACGGTGTTGTCTCTGCACCACCTGTGTTAGTAGACGAGAGGACATCGCCAAAAATGCGAACAGCACAAAGGCAGAGCATGGACAGCTCGCGCTGAGAAAGTTACATCTATAACTGTTTTATTGCCGGAAGGGAATAAAAACCTATTCTTATTCATCACATATGTATTCCGAAATCCTCGCGAATGTTACATCAGCCTGTAGCCTGCAGGTGCCAGAGGTAACAACTTCAGTTTCTTGCGTTGTGCTGTGATAAATGGGTGCCGCGGTGGTTACGAGATGTTATCTCCCTCGCCTCGTATGCAGGAGGTCGTGGGTTGGATACCGACCCTGACGATGCCTGCCATTTGTAGTTTGCATGTCTCTCTCTTTTCCCCCCGCCGTTGTGCGTGTGGCTTTTTTTCTCCAGGCCCTCCGGTTCCCCCATCCACATTTTTTTAAACCAACTCCTCTACACGTTTAATGTACAGTAAAACCTTGGATTGCGAGTAACTTGGTCTGCGAGTGTTTTGCAAGACGAGCAAATTTTTTTAAATAAATATTAATTTAATAAGCGAGCGAGGTCTTGCAATACGAGTAGTACGTATACGCTTTGTCTGCCGAGCGTCACGTGATCACAACTGATCTACGAGTGCTTTGATATATGAGTGCTTTGGATCACAAACACGTTTCCGGAATGAATTATGCTCGCAATCCAAGGTTTTACTGTATATAAAATTTGCCACTTTCAATTTCCACGCAATAAGCTACTTGGTTGAGCTTCTATCACTACGTGATGGTGGCCAGGTCGCTTCTGAAAAAGAGCTACATAGCTCAGTGGAGCCTTACCTGGTAAAATATAAAATAGTTAATAGTTTTTAAAAAAAGTTAAATCTCCACATGATGAATTCATAATTCATGATGTACAGAGTGATTGTTCACTTCCATTATAGAGAACACGATTCCCCACAGGCAAGCAGGGAAGCAGCCAGAATCAGGTGCGAACTATTGCCCAAGCTCTTTGGACCTATCGCTATAATTTTGGATGTTCGACCTCCTCCACGAATGAACGTCATTGGCGTGCAACAACTATTACAGTCCTGACGTGGATGTGGAGAAACTAATTACTTTTTTTAAAAGGGACAGAGCCATGCAGTAAAGGACACAGGCAACAAATTACAAATTGATGTCGAGATTTGACGTCCAT